CCACACTGTTCAAATACAGGAAAAGAAAGTGAGATGGTGTTTGTCACTTTTTTCCAGCTCCGCTCATTCGCTTCTCAGTCAGTGACTGTACTGAAGGGGGGCTTTCTGAAGAAAGGCCAGATTCCTTGGCTATTACATTATTTCCTGGAACACCTCACTCCAGAACAACACAGCAGACACTGGCTACATCCTGCAGGGTGAGCGGTCTGTGAAGAGGAGACTCTGCCGGTGCTCATAAATAGCTTTTTAAAAATAGCTTTAAAATAAACACAGCCCATGAACACCGACCTAAGCCAGGGTTTAAAAACTGATTTAACATGGGTCGTGGCAGTTTACGGTAGCTAAGAACTTAAACAGCTCTAAGACGTAGCTAATAAGATACCACCCTAAAGAAAGAGGGAGAATTCGAGGGGGAGACTTCAGATTTCGTGTTTTTTTATAATGACCATATACAGTTATACTGAATTTGAAATCCCCGTATGTGGCAACCTAAACATGAGCCTGGGTACTTAACGTTGGGTCTTTGCTGCCATCCTAAACCAAGAGTTACAAAGTGCTCATTTCCAACCTGAAGATCTGGAGATGGTCCTTGTTTAGCTAAGGTTGGCTAGCGTTAGCGGTCTCAACGGACGGACGTTAACTTAACAGTCAACGCCTAACGTTATTACGTTTCGTCACAGTTAGCCAAGAGCTGGCCTGTTAATTCTAAATAAACGTTCAGCATTATCAATACAACAGTCGTGTTAAAATATAGATTTAATTACCACAATTATATTGTATTTTCACCGGCTGACAGGTCAAACAAGCCACTCGCGAGGCAAATATTCACCTCAGGCCGAGTCTGCCGGTTTCGCCAGCAACTGATCCGTTGAGCAGCTCGCGCAGTTAGCGTACGTGCTAAACCTGACTATTTTGTTTTTCGAACGAAACATAAGGAAATACGCGTTACATCACGTCTGACCGTATATATCAATAATTTACCTTATAATTTACCTGAACATGCCCAGTCAGCGAAGTCAGCTCACCAGCTCTGAATCCTGAGCCCTCCGCCCGGTCAACTCGCCCGCTTCTGACGAACAGCGCCGTCTGACTCGCGAACGAATCGTTCTTTTGAACCGGATCCTTTTTTAAAACCGTCGAACCGATTCGCAAGATCCAACCGCACTTTTCTGTATCGCTCATGCAATGTTTGTGCCCATTATTGGCTTAACACTTCTAATAAAACTGGAATGTAACGTATCACTTTAACATGTGAAGAACAACCGCTTTGAATATGCTTACACTTCCTCTGTACACACTGAAGCTGATTTCCTCTTTCTGTTAACTATGTGTTTGTGCATGTGTACTTGCCAGGCCTGCCATGCCAGCACTGCTCTTTTAGAGAGTAGTCCGACGCCATTACTGAGCACAAGTAGTGAAGTAGTGGACATCAGACTCACTCACTGAATCGAAAGTCACTGTTCGATATGAAGGGATAATAAAACTGACATAACTAATCAGTGTGTCCACCGTTGAACGGGGCTTTCGGTTCATTGAAGTGGACAGTTCAGAGGAATCGGTTCGCTACACTGAATCAAACTTCCCATGACTACGGTCGAAACGCCAACGCGGCTCGCGAGCTATTTTTCAGAGGAGGAGGCACGATTTCCGGTAAGATGACGAAGCTACGCAATTACATCACTTGCTGACGAGAAGACGTCAATGACGTCTCATACAAAACATAGTTCTCCTTTTTCCTTTTATTTATTTTCGAAAAGAAAGAAACAGAACAATGTAACAGAGTATCTTATTCAGACTCTAGAAATACAAGTCTATGGATGTATATAAAAAAATCAAATTTAAATAAATAAATAAACATGCATACATTCACAGTACTGTGCAAAAGTCTTCGACAGCTAACAAAATAGTTGAAAAATATTTATTTCGACAAGTGTGTTTTTGCCAGTATATGATTAAACATAAATACAGTAAAGTGTTACAAGAATGCTTTGTTTTCATTAAAGTTTTTAGTATGTTGGTTAGAAGAATACAGTTAGAAGAACTCACTAGGTTATTACAATGTACTGTTTTGATATATTCACATGTACACACACACACACTTTTTTATGTATATTATTATTATTATTATTATTATTATTATTATTATTATCAGTAGTAGTAGTAGTAGTAGTAATGATAGCAATGATACACTTATGCACATACACATATTTTTCATACCTTTTTCATTTGATCGATTTATTTTATTCTGGGTGGATTCAGATGTAAACATACACTGATACAAATTTTTTGGATGCTACCACAGAATCATGTAGGTGAAGTTATACAGAATATTCTCAAAATACACCTAATTTATGTCGTCACATCACTGTACTGGACTCCGAATCATCTACAAGGCGGTCTATGACTGGGACTGGGAGAAAAACATGGCACTTATGAAACTTCTTGTATGGTTCATATGAAAAATGTCTTCAGGTGAAATGAGGTTTGGTGTCTGAAGGGGCACTTACGTACAGCTTCGTGCTCAACAGATCATTCAGTAACCTCTTGGGCCCAGTGGATGGAGTTATTGCTGTTCTGAAAGACATCACTGAGAATATCAGTGCTGTACCATAAGATACATAGAAATTGTGCACTAAGATTTGCAGAAAATTGCCATGTTGACATGTTTTTATATTCACTTTTCATAATAAACAAAACATTTGATGGGGGTATTAAAACTTTTGCATTAGATTCTAGAACCTTACTTTACTGATGCTTGTGCAACTTGCTGTTTAGCTCCATTAATCAAAGTGGTCTTCATAACATGAATTCTAAAGGAATAGTCCCATATGCCTCCACGGGGCATGGAACGGCATCCAGTTTTGGATTTAAAATGTATTATGGGTTCTACAGTTTAAAACAACCAGAAACCCACCACAGGGCTATTGTGTGAGTTCTGAATGAAAAAAATAAATGTACCAATTAAATCACAACTGTTTTGTATAAAATTATTCATAATCTGTTACAATATTGTGTTTGGCTGCTACGACACATCACTACAACACTTGTGTCCTGTTCTTGTCAGCACCTCAGCAACTGCTAAGTCCAACACGAGATGGCGCCTCAGACTACACTTGCTCTCAGGTTTGGTGTTCTGTTCATTAACTAATCTTCATTAAGTTTTTTGATTTTGTTTTATTTTCATTTTAATTTGTTTTGTATTTTAAATTAGCTTTTCTGCATAGAATTGTTTTTTAATTTTTTATTAGTTTTGCTGTTTTATTTTGCTTTTATTTATGTAAACCATTTGAAAGGCCTAATCAAGGTATGTATCTAAAAGATAACACATTGGGAAGACCACTGTATCTATTTTTAAAATGTCCTTTTCCTTTTCTTTACAAACATGTTATTTCAGTGGTACATGATGGCGTCCCAATTGAGAAATCACCTTTGAGTTAAAATTAAGATACTTAAAGTAATTATTTCAGGATAATAAGTCATTATCTTGACATTGGTTATTATTTTCAGAAATTGGCTAAGTCATTATCTTGACATAAGTCAAAGTTTTGAGAACATAAGTCATCATAATGAGATATGAGATAAGTTAGTATATGATAAATTAACCCTGCTGAAAAAAGACTATTAGAACCATAAGGATTAAAACCTGATGGTTTTGCTTTCTAATAGGAATTGGCTTAATGGTTGCCATTAGAGATCACTAGGTTCCTGTAGGACACCTTTAGATCCCATTAGGACACCATCAAATCAATCTGGAATCAGTCACAGAACACCTATTAAACCATTAGAATCCTCTACACTGTGATATCAACCCAACACGAAAACACAAAACACATTAGTAGCTTTTGATACCAACAGGAACCAACGGAAACTAAATATTTCTTATAACATTAATCAAATTTCTGAGAAAATAAGTCATTATTATGCGATACTAAATCAATATTTGGGAAGTCATTATTTTGAGATGGTTCATCACAGTAGGTATTTCAAGTAACTATTTCGAGAAAATAGGCATTATTATAATAAGCCAAATTTATGAGAACTGTCGAGATACTAGTTCAAAATTTTGGAATACTGCTGCTAGAAAGAGAGAAACGGCTCCCACAATAGACTAGGCTCCTAACTATAAAAAAAACAAACACACACACACACAAAAAGTAACTATTTTGTGAAAATAAGTAATTATTACAACAAATGTCAAATTTAAGAGATATGTCATTATAATGAGATACCGAGTCAATATTTGACTAATTAAATCAATATTTATTCGTTATTTAGACACCGTAAGTAATTATTTCCTAATACTAACTATTTCGAGAAAAAAATAAGTATTATTACAACATATTAAGTCAAATTTATGAGAAATAAGTCATTGTTACGAGATACTAGGTCAAAATATTGAAATACTGCTGCTAGAAACAGAGAAAAGGATCTCATTATAGACTAGGTTCCTAAAAGCAAACACATACAAAAAAGTAACTATTTCATAAAAATAAGTAATCATTACAACATATGTCACATTTATGAGAAAATAAGTCATTGTTACGAGATACTGAGTCAGTGTTTGACAAATTACGTCAATATTTTGAGGTCGTTATTCAGACACAGTAAGTAATTATTTCAAGATACTAACTACTTCGAGAAAAATATGCATTATTACAACATATTAAGTCAAATATATGAGAAATAAGTCAGTGTTACAAGATACTAATTCAAAATGTTGAAATACTGCTGCCAGAAACTGAGAAAGGGCTCTCATAGGCTGCTATCTACACAAAACCCCCTGTCTCACCTGGCCATGTGGTCTCCTCATACACTTTTTAAAGACGCAGTCATCGATACCGGCGGGTCAGGCTTTGTGTTTAGCTCTTCACTCCGCAGCGCGTCCAGTCAGACAGCATTCTTTCCGTCTGACAGAGAGTCACAGCCCGAACTGAACTCCGTCATTGTACGCTAAACCTGCTGCACAATAACTCATCTAAGCACCTCCGCTCTTCTGCTGCTCCTGATGTGGACATAGAGCGGAGCTGGAGTTCGCTCTGACCTGTCCAGTCCGGACTGCTTTGACCAGTGATGGATGAGGAAGAAGCGCAGGACAGCGAGTGTCCAGTCTGCTACGAGAGTCTGCAGGACAGCGCGAGGACACTGAGCTGCGGACACGCGTTCTGCCACGACTGTCTGGTCAGGACGCTGGTCAGTGTGAACCGGGAAGGAACCGTCACGAGAGACAGCATCATCTGCCCCGTCTGCAGACACGTTACGTTCATCACCAAACTCCAGGGACTCCTCGGGCGAGCCGGCGAGAAGGAGCAGAAGATTTTGGAAGTGCCGTCGACGTCCGTCGCGCGTTCGGCGAGCGTCCACAGCGGTCGTTTTCACTGGATAAGCGCGTGCGTGAGATGGCTTTCGTCCAGACTGAGCCGTCAGAGGCTGGTCTGTCCAAAAGACTCCTTGCAGGTGTTCATCATCAGCGACATGGGGCGCCCAATGGCCGAAGAGGATGTTATTGATGTTGGGACTAACGCAGTGATCCACGAGAACACCACTGGCCGCAGCTGGACTATGTGCACGACCTCCTACTGCCTGCTCGTCCTGTTAATAGCCTTTACCTTGCTCGCATTGGTAGCGGCAACGCTGCCTTGGGTCCTGTTGGTGTAGAGCATTCCATGGACCTCAACAAGTTTTGAAGGATGTTATGACGTGTAAAATGACCATTTTCAAAAAATACTACGAGGCTGGAATAGGCTTCATATTCGAATATTACGTTCCACCTTAAATGCTGCAGCAGTTTTATTAACTTCCGCAGCACTTAAGGTGGAACGGAGAATTCGAATAAGAAGCTCACGTCTTATGGACACCTGCTTAACTGATCATTGAAAAAATGGTATCTTGGCAAGTGGAAGCGTTTTGAATGGTAAGCCGTACATCTGATACATCATTATGAGATTGTTCTAAGGATATTGAACAGTTCTAGATATCATTTTAAGTGAGGATTGTCAAGTAGAATGATCTCACAGGCAGATAATTTTGCTTCTTTCATGAAATGATGCTTGAAAGCAGTAAAAGTAATATTATTTCAATAGAAAAGACCCCTTCATATAAGTAAACACGTCCAGAAATAGGTAGAATAAACCTAATATTCTTGCCACAGTCTCACTATGAGAAATACTAGATAATACCTACATTCAAGATGCTTAAACTTGCAAAGATGTAATTTTTCCCCCAGTGTATCAGGGCTGTGACAGACTTTGTAGTTCATACGCATTTCCACTTTCTACATTTCACCGTAGCTTGGCCCTTCCTAGTCCTACCACATAAGGGATCTTCTCAAAGCAAAGAACGGTGGTTTTGAAGCTGATCAAACAGCACAAGCTGAGCTCTGCTTGGCAGTATTTCTCTCACCAAATTATTAATGTGAAGGAAGGATCATTTGAACTAGGAGGGCCAGCAAGAGAAGATGAGCTTGGCAGGAGGCTTGATGCTTTGAAAGGGGAGATGTTTGTGGGATGGAGTTACAGCACTTCACACATTGAAATTCTGGGAAAGTCACTTGGTTTCTGTGCGAGTAGATCAGGAGAAGAGCCGTTAGTGTTTCTTTACGCTGCTTGAATACCTGTGTGGAGATCCCTTTTTTTTCGGGCACACCCTTGCTCTTCAAGCACTTCTTGTCTCACAGGTTAGAACACCGCACTTCCCTCTCCACCCATCTCACCTACTGACCACAGCTGAGTGAGAGAGTTGAGATACTACCTGCGCATGAATGTATTCATTTCACAACCTTATTCAGTTTGGTTAAAGAAAAAGCTAACAAATCTCACTAGTAGTGTATATTTACAGTGTTCAATGTTGGGTTTTGTTTTCAGGATTTCAATTTACTTTATTTGTCTTACAAAGGAAGTGAAAAGATTTAGGCCAGAAATCCTTAAAAATAAAGGTTCCTAAAAGGTTCTTGGACATACAGTTCTAGGAGACACGTTTGGTATAGGAACTTTACATTATGTGGAACTTCTTTAGGGAACAAAGTTGTTCTTCTATGGCGTTTCTCCAAAGAACCCTTTCTAGCACCTTTGTTTTTAAACGCGTAGTTTGGCTTACTATGCAATGTATGCAATAGTATATTTGTATACTATAGTAATATGACAATATATACAGTATTGTGCAAAGCTCAGAGACCACACTTCATATATTTAACTTTCAGTCAAAAACAGGGAAAAAACAGAATACAGGAAATCACACAGAAGCTTCAAAATACTGAATGGTATCAAAATTTCAATATTTTGTGTGTTGACCCTACCTTTATTATAGCTTTCCATTTTTTTCAAGAGACTCACTTTTAGTTTTTCAGAGAAATCTGCAGGAATATTTTTCAGTTGGTTACATTTTCTGCTTTTCCCAATCCAAGTAATCCCAAACACATTCAGTGATGTTATGTCTGAATGGTCCATTGTTCTGAGAATACCAGCAGTTTGACTGATCTGCCAGTGTTTTCCTTTTGTAGTCTATTTTCTTTTCTCAGTAACAGTTTCTTGGCAGCTACACATCCTTTCAGACTCAGTGTTGTCTTCTCACAGTGGAAGGACGGACAGAAACACCTGTGGATTTTTTCAGATCTGAAGCAAGAGTGGAGCTTGATTTTCTCCTCTCTGTACTGTTTATCTGAAGGCAGTTTTGGTGGTCTATAGGTCTTTCATGGTTGTTCGAAGCCCCATTTTCTCTATATCTTTTTATCATTTTTTCTAGTTTCTATCTTGTACTTAGTGGCCGTTTTGCCCATTAATTAAATAAATGAAGGGTGGTCTCTGACTTCTGTGCAGTATTTACATAGTAGTATATTAGTGTACTGCAGTAAAGTAATAGTACATCACTATACTATAATCTTTATTAATAATTTTAAAACAAAGACATGTAAATCGGATTTAACAACACAACATATTTAAGTTCACTTCCTGATTAATCTCAGCATACATTGGTGAGCTGTTCCCTGTTGCCTGTCATTGGCTCTTTCTGTGGTAAACGTACATCCAATATGGTACCCATAGCCTTTATAGGCAACCAATATGAAATTATTTTTCAATATTCAACCAAGCAGAACAAACCACTCAGACCAGAAGTATTAAAAATGTAGAGTTTAATATATATATATCTATTTCTGACATTCTGATCAGGATTGCGGTAGGCTTCACAGTACAGACTGTGTTGTTCCACTGATATGCTAAGCTGAGGGGAGGGGTGGGGAAGGGAGGGAAGTGACTTACAGGCAAGTTTGTACATAAGTTATGAATGCAGGGGAGAGGCTGTACATCAATGGACAGTGCGCACTCATATGTAAACCCATTAATGTTTTTTTTTTTGACCAGTTCTTCACGCATAACTAATATTTTTGGCCCCCTCCCCAGTTTACTCATAACATTTAGCAGTCTTAAAAGAAAGTGACAAGAATCATGAATTATCAGAAGAGACTAAGTGCATGCACTGCATTGTCACATCCACTCTCTGATCTTAAGACAACAACAAAAAAATGGCAACGTCAACAGACAGCTTTCTGATCTCCAAAAAAGTGATTTTTGATTATATATGCAACGTCTGTCTTGTTCATTTGTCTTGTGTCATTTTTGTTTTCATTTATTAGAATGCAATGTTACTGAATTGAGCTGCACTTCGAACATCTCTCTAAGGACTTGTGAAATGTGAGTGCTGTAAATGTGAAATCATTAAACAAGCAAAGGAAATCACTTGTCCTAATGGCATATCTGCAACTGATGCTTTGGATACACTGCTGAAAGTCCTAGAGTAATGGTACCCAGCAAGGGCCACAAAGTCCACAGGTATCTGTGTTAAACATGCACAATACCACATGATTTCATTAGTGATCTGTCTTCCTTAACAAAGAAAATAATATACTAGCTGAAATCAGACTGTGATTCACTCTGGTAAAATTAAGCAATAGAATATGATTTTGTGACAGTAATATTGCACAACCTTGAGTCCTCTATTGCTTAAAAGTTTTGCAGAGTAAACAAAAAAGTCAAGAAACCCCCAACATTAAGTGTTTTAATACTGGCAAGTTCTTCAGCCAGCAAAGTACCACCACAAGTGATGTGCTGCTTTAAGTTACTTTGTGTTGCTTAGGGGAAAAAAGCAGATTCAGAATATGACCTATTGGAATATGACAGACTGCAAACGTTTTTTTGGGATTTTCTTGTCAAATATGACTATCCTTCTATTTGCTAAAGTCTAGTTAACGGTTAGCAGCAATTAAAAGTAAAGCAACCATTGTTGCTTAGCAACCAATGGTTTGTCAAAAAAACCCTTGCTGATGTCTGACTACACAATCTGATTAAAAAGAGTTAAACTCATGTTGTCATCAGCATATTTTTTTGACCAACCACTGGTTGCTAAGTAACAATGGTCACTGTACACTGCTGCTAACTGTTAACTACACTTCAGCATGGCCCTTGATTGATTTAGCCTGGTCCTAGCAGTTCCAGCAGCTGTATACAGGGCAATTTCTAGCCTCAGAAATGGTGTGCCGCTGACTGTATGATAATAATCCCAGAAGTGACCGACAGACTCATGCATTCGCATGTAAATCCCTTCCCTAAATCAACATTTACACAAGCATTCAAAGTGACTGGCAACAGGGACAAATGAACCGCAGAAGTGTCACCTAAATAAAGTAAATGAACCATGCGTCTATTGCAGCTCCTATAAGGTATTGACAAAGCCTTTACCTCAGTGCAGAGTGAGGGTAAAGGTTCAATCACATTCAGTCACCACTCTTTATTTCATATGCACATGTGCCTCTTCATAGAACACTGAAGAAACCAATACAGACCAAAAAAAAAATCAAAAAACAAAAACAAACAAAAAAAACCTAGTAAAGTACACACACAAAACTTGTCATTAGCTTCAGGACATAAATATCTATTGTGAGGGCACTTGCAATTATCATTGTATAATCACTACAACTATTAAAAAGAGTACTCAGTCACCAATAATCATCATAATAGAACAAATTGAGAATGCACACTGAGGCATACCATACATTTCAGCAAAGAAGTCCTCTTGTCCCTGAAGTACACTAACGCTCAGTCAAATAAAGGAGAAGAGAGAATAATAATAGAAGCCATGACGTTTGGGAACCTCTCAGAGTCAGGCTCTTAATGATGGGAAAGAAGCAGCGCGCACTTAGGGCCACTTCCCAGTGAGGTTAACAACAGAATAAAGTGTAATTGCACTTTCGCTGACACTATTTACGGCATGCCCGTTTCCGTTCGGACACAACAAACCGCACCATCTGTCGGTTTGTGCAGCAGAGTCTAACCGACCAAACAGATGGCATATCTAGCCTGCTTACCCAACCATCTACTGGTCATAGCTTCAACACGATAAACCAGAGTAGGGCTGCACAATATATTGCAAAACAGGTCTTTGCAATACTATTGTCACAAAAGGCTACAATTTGCAAATAAGCTAAGTGACCAAGCACAATGTTTCTTACTGTGTGCTGCAAGCATACTGACCAATAATAGCTCCGGATGACTGTTTCTGTGAGTCAGTCAAGCTATTCACTTTAACCCAAGAAAGTATTTGGGTCAAAATGATGCTGGCCAATCTTTATCATGTCATAATGTTGATTCACCAATGATTAACAAATATTTTGCCAATATAGTATAAAATTGATTGATTCACCAATCCATTACACTTGATAGCTGACTTGATGTCTGTCACAATCAGAATCACAATTCCTCTAAATGCTAAATTCTTCCATCAACAGAACTCCTTAAAACAAACCTGCAGTGAGAACGCAGATAGCAGTCAATTTTGTTCACTTTCATATCGGCCAACATTAATATTCTGTCATGTCTCAAACATGCATGTCTGCAATGAACATCTTGTAAAGCAAAATGTTCTTGATTGTTTTTTAGAATGAATAATGTTTCATTTGTGCTCCTCTGTGTGCTTCTATATCATTGTATAACTGAACTAAAGTTTGTAAGCCTAAGTGATACGGATGCCACCAGATAGCCTGATCTGAAAGTGTGATGGGTGTAGCAACAGTAACTATGGGAGGTCAATTGCACTGTGTAGTAATATAATAAAGATACTAGTATTTTGCCCATATTGTGCAGCCCTGATCCAGAGCGTGTCAGAGAGAAGGCAGTGAGACAATGAGGCCTGCTCGTATTGACAAATGACCCCTGATACTGACTAATAAAATATACAATTGATGGGGAAGTAAATACGAGAAAACAACAAAGTCTGGTGGCAATAGCCAACCAGAAAGAGGAGAATAAAGGCAAGAGAACAGCTTTGGTGACCAACACATTCACTACATATGTGGCTACAAAGCACAAGCTCTGCCTTCTGGTACTCATTACAGTTTCCTGCTCCAACTTCAAGTACCTTAGTATGGTCAGAGTTTGGAAGTGGGCCAAGTGGTTTGTAGCCATGTATGAAGTAAATCATCTGCTTAGTTAATAGATCAGTAAAGCTGTTCATTTGTGCTGGTCATCCTTGTCCTCGTTTAACCGGCAAAAATTCACTGCGTACACTTGCTATCCACAAAAAATCTGAACTCCAGTTTTCCGGACGAATGTAAAACTTGGCTCATTCCCAGTGCTTTTGCTATACATTTACAGAATTGTTCTGATGAGAAATGATAATGTACTTGTGCAGTATGTCACTTTTATTGTTTTCAATTAAGGCTGTATGAGACCTGCAAAAGATTCAGATTTTTCTATAGGGTGAAACTCTGCTGGGCCTTTTTGAAATATTCCGCATTCATATTATTAAAGTTAGTGTTCATGGCTTACAAAAGTGCAAAAGCTCACTCACTCTCTCTGTGAATCTGGCAACAAGTATTCAGGGACAAAATAATACTCAGTTATCATAGAACGTTATCTCTATACAAGATAAATATGGCATGTCACACATATGAATATATAATTCATATTTGCCTTTACATTTGTCCTCTCCTGAACACATATCTACAGATCTTTATGTACAGTCTTCGTATTTACACAGGAGCGGAACCTGTCATTACTCTTTATATCCTGATAAATGAAGTCTGAATAGGAGGCACAAATTACGTATTTAATGGTCTGACCTCTCTTTACCAGCGGAACTGCAGCTGCCACTGGAGGAGCGAACGGTAAAAGGAATATGTACCACTGACCTTCATGTTACATTTTAGGAGAGTGAGACAAATATCTACCATGAGCTCTTATCTCATTGTTTTACTGGTGCATTACAAACCGTTCAAGAACATTTTCATAATGTGCTAGGCTGTACGAGTGCCCATTTCGTCAGTAATCGAGTATTTGGTATTGTCTATGCCAAAGCAGTGGTATGTATAGGCCTGCGTGCATGTCAGAAAGACAGAGAGATCGCTAGATAGAGATAGACATAGAGAGAGCGAGTAAAGGATTCAAATGAGGCCTCAGCATTGTAAAACTAGACTCAAACAAAGTTCGCATGCTTTATGTCTTCAGTTCATCTATAAGAAATGAAACCAGTCTACCTCCTTGGACCCTGTAAAGAATATGAGCAAGTACTACCCTCTCACGCCATGAGGGGGCACTATGATCTCATGCTTTCCAGCAAAAAGAATAATATGAGGTTCCTTTAGAATCAGCAAACACCCCTCCTGTGTCCCACTGTATTGCAATTTAACTTCAGGCTCCGATTATAAGGCAGAAAGAAAAAAAGCAGAATCGATCAGAGAGAAAACAAGCGTGGCACAATGTCCACAATACACAATAAACTCAACATTCCCAAAGTCCACCGTCCATTGTTTCTGCTATGGCACAAGTTGTGAGTTGTGTAGATGGTATCACATATTCTATCTACTTATCAGTGAGAAGGTTGGAGCAGGTGTGAGTGTTCTGTAGGGGAGAGGACGGGGTCCAGTTCCAATGGAGGGGTGAGGAAGCAGGGAGGAGGGCTGGTGGAGGCCTTGTGCTTGGGCAGGGCCTCAGCAGAAGGTGGGCGGGGCTTGGCAGGGCTTGGCAGGGCTGGGCTGCTGCTGGCTGGGCTCAGGGGTTATAGCGTGGTGCTCTGGGACTCCTCCTCGGTCAAGGGCTCCCTCTCTGGAGAGTGGTCAGCCACGGCCATGGAGCTCCGGCAGGGCGCGCCCACCCTGAACTCGTCCAGCAGGCTGTCCAGATTGACATTGATGGAGGGGATTTCCAAACTGAAGAGATCTGCTGACATAATGGCAGCGATGGCGGTGAAGGTGAAAGCATGAGACGGTTACAAGCAGGACAGACACGAATGGTCGGGTAGGAGAAGTACATGGTCATGAGGGTGGCGATGGGTGAAGAAGAAAGACAAGGAGAGAAGAAGGGAGAGCAAGTTCAGTTCGAGGCTGGTCTTTGGAAGAAAAGCCAGCGCAGGACGAAAAAATAATGCGATTCACTGAAGGAGAAGGCTGGAAAGAGGGTTTGTTCCCTAACATTCTACACAGGGATATTGTCATATCGGCCCTTTTGTGAGCCATTGGACTCGCTCACTAGAGTCGTCCTCTGCTGCCCAAAGGTATGGATTAAACTTTCAGTTGATGGTTAACAGATCAATCATTGTGTGTTCATTCAATGGCGACATGTTACAGCATCATCATAGTTGACGTTCAATTGATATCCAGCACAGTGACCATAATACTTTTGACACAAAGACGATGGGATGGGTGTAAAGTGAGTCAGAAGGGACAGTGCAAAATCTCTTCGCTTGATTAGAATGTGGCTCTCTGAGGAGCCGCCGTATGGCCTGGGTTCTGATTGTGATGACCTCCCCTGTGTAAGAATGAGATGGACACGCACAGCGGAGTCACAGCAAGTGGAAGGGCGAGGAGTGTTCAGAATTGCCCCGTGAAGGGCCCGGCTCGGAGAGAGAGGGCGGGGTTTACCTGGGCCCACCCACGCAGTGAGGAGCTGCCACATGGCTGTTAGGGGAGAAGTTTGAGGGGGAGTGGGAGTGGGGTCAAGGAGCGGGGTTGTTACGATGGACATCAGAGAGTGACGATGTTGGCAATGTGTGGGGCCCCCTGGGAGGTCCGTTAAGCCATGCACAGGCCAATCCCAACACCATGCACAGACTGAACACGGACAGAATGAGGCAGCGGCAGACAGCTCCACGGAGAGAAAGAGAGAGATAGAGGTAGAGAAAGAGAGAGAGAGAGAACAGCAGCGGTGACCTTCTGGTCCTGGAGGACCAGAGTCTAGCATAGCCTGGTGATTTTCCTGCCCTAACACACCTACAAAACCTGGTTACTAAGGATGGAATGGTCAAAAGTTTCATTATCGGTAAAAAACCTTATGATAATCACACTGTTTCAAATTAGAAATTCTAATAATGACATACAAGTCACAGTGCAAGTAAGTAGTTTGTTGTTACAGTCTCCCTACAAAGCACGTACAGTTCTGTTGCACTTTTAATGTATACACATTTGGTTGTGTTGCACTTTCATGTTAATATATGCACACTTGATATATGTTGTGTACATGGTGTATTGATGCATTTCATATTTATATAGTAACAATCTGAACAACAAATAGTAGTAGTTCTGGTAATAATTTCATATTTAAATGAACAGTTTGGTCAAAAAATGCTAATGTTGCTAATGATAAATGAAAGCGAAAAGCCACAGTTTACATTATGACATCCTACTAACTACTTTGTTAATGTTAGCCAACTCCTTTCAATCAGAGGTCTTCAAATCCAGACCTTGAATCTATTTCCCAGTTCTGGATTTTGTAGTCACCAATAAATACAATACTAAGTAACTGATCAATTACACTGAGGGTTCAGCTAACCACCAGTGAGTATGAAGTCCAGGAACGAAAACTGGATTTAAGCTCCAGAACTGAAGGTGTTAATTGTAGCTATATTTATAGAAGTTCTACAGAAGATTTAAAAAAAGTCCATGTGCAGTGCTTTTAACATTTTCTTGTCCTATCGTGAAAGGAAATTTTTATACCATCCCATCCTTACTGATGAAATGAGTTGATTCAGATGTTTTTGAACAGTGAAATCCCCAAACCATGCTGGACTGAGGCCCTCCAAGATTAGATCTGGACACGCCTGGTTTAGAGAGTGAGTATGAGAGAGCTGGCGTAATGTACAGAGGGAACAGGCTGCGGAAGGCCCCAGACTCAGCCACAGCACCAGGCCCGACGGTGTGAGATGAGGCTACGGCATGGGGCGCAGCAGTGCAGTAGGTTTCTGGCTTACCCTAAACGTCCCCCTCACACTTAGCCCACACTCAGTGCCTGGCCTCACACAGCTGCAAAGGTGCACGACGATGGCAGGGGACAAAAAAGTCATACATCAATCAGAGTGATCAGGAGAATGACCGACAGACACACCTCAGAGGCTCAAATGAGAGAACATACAGTCAGTGCCCACACAGCTGCCCACTAGAATGATAAGACAGACCACAAGCCTTACTTAGAAAACAGAGTCTGACAAGACTGGAGAGATTACCCAGACTGAACATTAGAGGTAAGGTGTATATTGTAGGTCCCTATAGTCTAAAGTACATTCCCTTCATGTTCCTTTGTTCAAGTGCTTTACGTTACCGTATCATCTTGACGATGAAGAAATCATTTACTAAACACTGAGCTTAAAGGCAACTGAATCTAAAGGCACCTCATACTCAGGAGAAATGAACAAAATATACAACGAAAAATGCTTCAGATTTCACAGGGAACAAGGCTCCTCATAGTCCGTCGCCTGCGTAGGACGGTGAGACAGACAGTTTGAGAGAGGGATGTTGTCCTCCCGTTCGCGCTGTTGCCACGGAGACATGTTTACCTGTGGACATGCTCTCCCCGGGGGACAATCCGTCCAGCAGGCCCTGCTCCATGGGCTGGGGGGCGGTGGGGGGGACAGTGGGCGGCTGCGGAGGGGGCAGACTGGGTCTCTGCCGGGGCTTGGGGGTGGGCCGCGACTTGGTGAGTGTACCGGTCAGAGACGGGGGAGAGGACAGGGAGTGGGGCGCCCCAAGTGGGGCCTGCCCGGGGGAGGAGGCAGGTGCGTGCCCTGGGGGGCAGCCCAGGCCGTACGGGGAGGGGGTACTCGGGGGAGTGGGGGACAGGCTGACCGGCGACGGCTGACCTGTGGACTGGTCTGACATCCCCCCCGACTGGCCATACGGAACCTTGGGTGGCACAGGGGCCAGCTTCTTCGAGGCTGTCGAGAGAGGAAGAAAAAAAAACAAAAATCAGATTCGCAGGATGTTTTTTGTAGTATTCTACATTGTTTGCTATTTCATGGGCACAGACAACTTTATAGGAATATATAAAGGACAGTTTTGTGAAAAATCATATAGCCATACTTTCCCTTTACCCCAAATGTGATCAACCAAAACCTTTCGTTTCTAGGCTTGTGAGTGAAATATACCATTGCCTGATTGGCAGTTGATGATAGTATCCTGAGCAGGGCATGCTGGCAGACAAACAAAGAGTCTTCTTCCCTCACAAAAAAGCTTTACTATGATGTCCTATGTTGCAAGTAAACATGTATATATATGCTACCTGAACATCTAAGCACTTCTTCAGGACATAGTGGAAAGGTACCACCAAGTATCGATGGTAAAGCTGTTCCTAACCCTAAACCTTAACCAGAACCATAACCCTAAACTACAGAGTAGCCTCTCAATTCTGCACAGCAAGTAATGTGGTAACATAGAGAGGCCTGCTTAAACCTAAAAAGACATGGCCAGAAACTTGTAGGCTAACTTTTTTTCTTGCTATATGTTTAATGAATCACAATTTATCAGTCAGTAAGTCACTTCTTTCTTAAAATAATATGGCTGAAGCTGTGTTAAGTTGCTTGTACTCCTTTTTTGTTACTGGTGAAACTAAAGCGTCAAAATTACTTAATCCCACATTTATGTTTCACGTCTGGTGTATGGAAGGCTGCAGCAGGGCTAATCTATTTTGCAAGGTCTCTCATGGTTGAAAATAAATCTAAATAAATATAAAATGTATGAATGTAAAATGTTTGAATGTTTTAAAGACTTTAGGCTGGTATGGTACATGGACTGGATGGAATCAATCTGTGATTTTTGATATTATTGCCAATTGACTCTGGAGTTACAGTGCTGTGAAAAAGTATTTGCCCCTTCAAAATTTCTCATTTTTTTTGCGAAATTGTCACAGTTAAATGTTTCAGATTATCCACCTAATTTTAATACAAGATAAAGGCAACACAAACATACAATGCAGCTTTTAAATGATCACTCCATTTATTAAATATAAAGATTTATTCAAAACCTATACTGACCATGTGGAAAAAATAATTGCCCCCCCCCACCAAACCTAATAACTCTTTGTAGTAACAACTGCAATCAAACGTTTGCGATAACTTGCAATGAGTCGTTTACATCGCTGTGGAGAAATTTTGGCCCACTCGTCTTTGCTGAACTGTTTTAATTTGGCTACACTGGGGTTTTTTTGAGCATGAACTGCCCATGTCAATGGGATTTGAGTCAGGACTTTAACTCAGAAGCAGAAACACCTTTTTTACAGCACTGTACAAGGCTAATGTAGCTAACAAGCAACAGAAGCTTATATCTCACCAATTAGCATTATACAAACTGTGTGCCTATATCAGCACACATTTGGCTCAAAATGTGTCTAGTTGTTAAACAATCACACATAGAACTGCTTGGGTGGTTTCTGGCACTGTCTGATATACTGTTATTAATACAAACAGACATTGTGTTGCCTAGCTAAAACAGTAGCAGGAAGACTGAATTATGTCCATATATTTGTCAATTTCGAGACAAGAAGTGGTTTAAGCCACGCGTGTGATGATGCAGGCATGCAGTTTGCACGATGCTCATTGGTGAGGTATAAGCTTCCATTACTTCTTAGCTACATTTGTTCATTAATGATATTTGTGTGGTTTTCTGTACCAAAAAGAGTCACAATTAATTTTCCAACCTGAATAGGTGGGGCTAAAGTGCTGTAGGCTGAATAGGTGAATATGTGTAAATGTGATGGTACTGTACTATACTGTATTTTCAGCTTAAAATCGACATCGAGACCTTGGGAGTTAATGGTACATTTTAAAACTTTAATAATGTTACATAGTACACTGAATGCTTTTGTTTTAAAAAGCGAGAAAACTTTGGTTTTCCAGGACACGGACACTTTAACTCAGGACACCAAGTATGTTTTGGGTCTTTAGCTACATTTGGGATAAGTGGAAAATAGTGTAAGTGTATAAAATTGCATAAAATTGCTGCGAATGTTTCTTTAAGAAAGAAAGGGACAGACCTTTGCGCAGCGTGTGGGGGCTGTGCTCGGCTGAGTGGGGCGACTGGCTGTTGCTCTGCTGGCCTCCAACAGGGGGCACTGTCGGTCCTGTCACCTGCACAGCCTTATGGCCGATCACAGGCGAGAGCTCCTTGCTCTTCAGAGTGCTGAGGAGAGATAGAAACGTGACGGCCTGCCGACGATCCACACCCACTATGCCCTTAACGAAGGAGAGTGCACAAGGACCACTCGCACTGCTAGCACAAAGCTGATTCCACCTCCTCACACTGTCCAAAAATAAGCCTTGATTGCTCTCGAAAAAATGGGGGAAACTGATGTGGACTGGCAATTGCAATTGGTAAATGTTTGTCATATGAAATTGAAACGATTACATGTAATTATCATTTATCATTACGACATCATAATCCTCAGTATCTTTATTTGCCCTTGACATCAAAGATAAGGATATAAGATGGTGGATTTACACTGAACGCATTGCTCATGTGCGTCAGCAGGAGGAAAATAGAGTGTCCTTGTGCAGACCAGCCACCCACCAACCCACCCACAACTGTACACCACACACACACACACACACACACACACACACACAACTCGTTTATAATACAGCTGAGTATATGGAGGCTCTCCTTCACACTGACAGGTCTACTTAAGCACCTAGTCTACTACATCTACATCTGTTAAAATGACATAATCTCTACAGCTCCTTGAGCCCTACATGGAAAACATCTGAATGAAGACTCATGGAAGGAGATGGGGGAGGGAGACTCTATCAGGCAAGCTTTTCTCAGACACAGAGAATACAGTCAGGATAATGGCTCATGCTGCCTTGCTGCTAATAACTCCTAACAGGGGATCTTACGGCGCCGGAGCCTGAGGCTAGTAGACAGTATTATACTGTATCCTTCTGACATTACTGCAACCTCTAATACAACTTGTGGTGATGTTGCTTCAAAACCAGTGTAATCCAGGGCTGTCACCATCACTTACAAGAGGAGAAAAATTGACTTAGCTTAATAAAAACCATGCATTGTCAAAGATAAACAAAAAGGCTTAATTTTAGAAAATTGCATAAAAAAATTCTTATCAACTGTTAAACAGGCTCTGTTTCCTACTGTAAGAGTTAACAGTAGGATAATCTAAAATATGTATTATGCAAACCCCCCACTAATCATTGCAGATCCACTGAGAAATCAAATTTTTTAACTGAGTAATCGTGACAGCCCTAGTGAAGGCACATACCTTTGCCTCCTCAATAACGTGTGGCCTATATAAATGAGGAAGGTAGTGCATGAGGATGAATAGGTTTTCTTATTTCAGATTTCAGAAAAAAATGCCAATATGTGCTATCTTTATTGCATTAGCAAACTAGTCAAACTTGATTCTGGGTGAATATATTGACCTCGTGCTCTTGCCAGCAGACTTCTAATTCACCCTTTTATCATGCATCGATATCTTTCTAACTGCACATTCACAGCCAGAAAGGCAGCCATAACAGGCAAATGCAACTCGTAATGTGCCAATAAATACATTCATATGTCGCTATATAACCATATGCAGTGTTATCCATGTATTTATTTCTAATCTACGGCAGGATCCACTTTCTCTAAAAGCCAGTAACATCCTCAGTTGCTAGGCAACCCTCAAGAGAGGCTTCCCTGGACAACTAGAATGTTACAGAATCTGAGGTATGGCATTGAAAAGAGCACTACGAGCATAATAATAGAAAAAAAGAGGGTGAAGAAAAAGAAAGGTTAAAGGAGAGAGCCAGCTCAGAAGCTCCAGCAGCATGGGGAACCCTGCTGGCCATTCCAGTGTGTAGCTGAGGCAGGACAGGTGTTCCAAATCTAAAGACTACTCCTCCAGAGCCAGTGACAAATGCTACATACTGGACCTAGGTGGGCCCAGAGTGAGTACTGTTTCTACTACAGCCCCAGGCAATAATGGGAATCCTCTAGAGCAGTGGTCCCAGTGAGCGTAACCTTGTTCACTTTTGGCTGGCAGATGGCTTTTTATTGGCTAGCCTAATGTGTTGCTTAAGGGTTATTTAAGGGTACCATAACTAACTAGGCTAACTTAACGACTGATAATTCTGCCAATTTAATACACTTTTCTTGTTAAGTAACTATCTCTAAATAATGTTGTTATTCTATTGCATAAATTAACAGAAAATTATTTTGCACTTCGTAGATTTTTGTTGTGAATTATCATTTTGATGAAGCAAACAAATGAAACAAGGATGTAACGACAGACAAAATATAAAATTTGTTTTGATACAATAATGTCTTCTTATGACCTATTTTTCCATACAGCAAAAATAAGAAGTGCCTGAATATGTAATTTGCGTTCACTTGTTAATGTTTGCACCAAACATCTTTCAGGCATGCACAGTATTTTTAGGTTGATGCAATTATCAATTCTGAGACAAACATTAAATCAATTTTTTTGATATTTTTTATGTTAAAAGTGTTAATTATTCTCCAGATCTGTAAATATATACTACACAGACTCAGATAAATAAAAGTTGTCCAAGAGAACTTTTTCAGGGCCTGCTGCACACCTTCTTGCGTACACAACATAAGGCCTTCCCTCTTCCTGCCTACTTTATTCTGAGAGGATACACGCAGATGCCTAGTTTTGACTGTTGTCAAATATGAATATGATATGTGAAAGCCCATCGGAAAAGACTGATTTAAAATTCTGATATATCAATAATGAGCTGTTAACAATTTGAACTCCGTCTAAATGTATGCTCATGCTTGTTCAAAAACTGCTGCACTGCATCTAACAACAGCAACTGCTGAGACAGCATTGCGTATCTGCATGATTTATTAAGTTTAAAGATTTTTCTTGAAGTCAACCTGAAATTAACCCCTTTTTTAATAAACTTGACAGTTTATGTGCCTGGCTATATTTAGCACTATTTATGATATAACTTAAGAGAGAAAATTCCATCGAAATCGAATGACTCTGTCCACCTCTAAAAAGTCTTTTTGATGTTTGATTATGTGACCATGCCTCAGCGGGTGGGGAAATTTGTCACAATATGGACGGAAAATACATTATGATTTCTGATTCACGCTGACTTTAGGGTGCTGGCATAAAAAGTGTACAATATATTGTTTTGTCTCAATACAAATTAATGAATAAATACGTTACTTAATATTACATTATTAAATTACACTACATTCACACATTTTTATTAATTTTTTGACCAAATTCTGTGGGCATGGCGAGCATATGTCACAGGTCATTTGTCATATGTCACAGACCACTGCTCTAGTGGTACCAGATCACAGGAAGTTAAGTTTTTGTAGAAGTAAAAATCAGTCACTATAAATCAAAATGTTTTTTTGTTTCCCCAACCCAGTAATTCTCAGTCTTAATGTTGGACTTAGCTCTGGATGGGAACAGGCATGTGGGTATTTACCTAGTCAGCCTGGGGGGTCCTCGCTCACGGGCGCATGGGCAGGCGGCCCACGGAGGGGGGCCAGAGGAGGGTAGGCTAGGGGGGTTTCCGAGTGCCACCTCGTGGCGGGTCAGCACCAGGGGCGTTTTAACATAGAGGGGGGAGGCGTTCGCATCGAGTGGGGCGGCATGCTGCGGGTCACACGCGGGGCCGTGTTTGGGGAAGTGCAGACAGCTGGGCTTGGGGTTGGAGTTGATGTCGAGGGAGGAAGAGGAGGAAGAGGAAGAGGAGGAGGGTGGGGGCAGCTGGGGCAGGGGCTGGGGCTGAGCAGGGGGGCCAAAGCCGGACCAACGTAAGGGGGGGGAGTCGGGGGGCTGGGACTCGGGACCTGGGGCGACAGGGCGTGCGCAGGGAGGGGGTTTGGGGTAGAAGTGGTGGGGGCCATGGGAGGTGGATGAAGTGGAACAGGCGGAAGGGTAAGGAGGGGGCGGCCGCTCCTCCCCGTGGGGCGCATAGGCATGAGAGGGGTCCGGCCGGTGGGGCGACACCTCGTCCGAGCTGCAGATATTGGGAAACAATAAAAGAGCAGACACAGAGAGAGAGAGAGAGAGCTCTAGTAACTGCACACGGACACGGATGACAGCACTAGACAAAAAGTGGATTCGTCAGCTCCGACTTTGATTACTGCGCTCTCTAACTCTTACAGAACACTTCTACTCGCATTCAGTTATTAAGCTTGCAAAAAAAAAAAACTAAAGTAAAAAAAATACTGTGGCAGTGTTTTTGTTAATATGTTTGTCAAGCTGTGATGTGATTTGTGATTCAGGTCAGTTCAGTTGTGGGACAATGGTAAAGAAGCGTAGCACACAGGAAGCCTGCTAAGAAGCCAAAGCAAAAAATTAAAAAAAGGGGCAGGGCTCAGCACGAGCATTCAGATTCCACTAAGAAAAAAAATAAAAGCACAGAAAATACTGCATTAAAAAAAAAATCACTCTCTGATGAGCTGAGAATGACCTTGTGTCTGCGCACTGCACCAAGTCCAGAACCGTTTTTCCCCATATAAACATCCAAGCTCGGCTTTGAATATCACAGGGAGTTGTGTTCAGTGAATAATTCAGAAAGTAACGCTTTATCAGTCCCCATATTCTCTCTCTCTCTCTAGTGCAAGGAGCTAGCACTGAAACGCTAGCGCTAGCACCATGGCCTGGTCCAGCTCCTAAACCCAGAGCAGTTGAACACAGACACAAAACCCTTTCATAGCCTGAAAGAGTCACGGAGAGGGAAGGAGCAAGTCAGCCAGACCTATAGCCATCGCAAAACCCAGAGTGCAAGGCGTTAGCCACAGGATGACAGTGACGACCAATGGGACAGCACAGATGAAGAAGCAAGTGCGTTATAATAAGTCATCGGTCCAATTACAGCTCATGAAATGAAATGACTGTTAAGCCACAGCATGGATTCTTTTGCATCTGGACACTATTCATCCATTTTGACATGACATATCTAACTAACACCTACCAATCTGCAAATGTTTACCACATAATCACAATAAATGTCTAAATATACAAGCATTGAGAGAGACTGGATTTATATGTAAGAAGAAGTATATCAAAAAAGGTGTTAGAACAGGAGTGTCCAATTCTGGCCCTGGAAAGCTAGCTAGGTTTGGTGATTTCCCTGCTTAAGCTCACTAAACTAGGTGACTAAGTGCCGAGCTGAAGGTGTATTTAAGCAGGCAAATCACCAAACCTCAGGACTTAGATTCTCCAGCAGTGTTCTAATTCCTGAAAGGAAAGGAGACACATGTAGCCTCAGAGGAATCCCCACCACCATCTTGAAACGCACTGATTCTCAAAAGAGGCCTGTACGACTGTAAACTTCCAAGAGGACCACTTGCCCAAAACATTTCATTTTTTTTTTATCCCAATCTTATTGTGAAGATAAATACTTTTAGCCAATGTTAGTTACAAACATGTATGGCAACAATCTGTCCTGACTCCAAGTTCATTCTGTTTTTAAATTTACCGCAGCCCACACCTACTTTAGCAAGTGAACGCTTGTGTTAATTATATACGATGCAGATACAATGTTCAGGAGGGTGGAGGAGAAGTCAACAAGAAAAAGAAAAGGAACTAGTGAGACGAACTGGAGCTGGACACCCCTGTCAGAGTATGCACGCTTCAATTAAGGAGTTGCAATGATGATGGTGGAGATTAGAGTGAGGATGCTTAAGATAATGAACAGGAACACGCTTACCCGGCCCTGTCTGCTGGAGGAGGAGTGGGGATAGGTGAGGTGGCCAGCTCCCCTGTCTGCTCACAGATGAGCGTGTCGGCGGGCGATCCTGGCGGCTGTGCGCTGGGCGGGGTGGACGAGGCTTTCCGGGCCAGAGTGGCCGCGCTTTTCCCTTTCACCCAGGACGTGTCCATCACCCTGACCCCCATACTACACCCACACAAAGAGCAAACACAGTCAGTCCACCACACCATCCGACAGGTGAACACAGATATTTAAGGAATAGATCAGCAGGAGATCAAATTCAGATTTGGGCATATAATCATACCTTCCCTAAGTACAGAAACAATGCTGCCCTTTATTTCCATGTCATCTCAATCAATCGCTGATGACGATGATGACTTTTTGATCACTTTTTTTTGCAGTATTTTTGCACCTCAGGAAGACTTTCTGACACTAGGTGGAACAAACTGTAACTTGCACTACTGTCAGTTAAAAAAATAAAACTTAGCCTTATGCATTTGGGGTTTCTTTTGCTTTTTTCTGTTGAACCGAACTCATAAGGCACCCCGATGTCCAAACCGCGCCGTAAACAGAATCGTGACTTCTCTGTACCGTTGCACCCCTACTGTAAAACGCATGTTTTTCCTCAAAAGTTCTGTCTTTTGATGGTGTCTTCTGTACCCCGTCCCCCCTACACACAACCCCCCCATATAATGCACAAACGATTAACATTTTTATAGAAATTGTAGCACATGCTCTAACAGATTGTTAGTATGATCAAACAAACATAACTCGAAGCTAAAGGAAACGACCGTCAAAATGCAAGCTAACATTTCCCTAGCTGGCTTGCCAACTTAATAGCTACTTATTGCAAAATCTGGATTAATTAAAGGATTAATACTGAAAACAAAAATACTGTCCTAATTGTAGAAAAGAAGATCAATATGTTTCACATTGTAGCAACATTAGCCTTACATTTCCATTGCAAAACTAAAGATGCAAACAGTATACAGCTTAGTCATCTTAATGACTACATTAAGGGTAAGTGTAAATTTGATTTTCTGCCAAATACTTGCTTTAAGATGCTTTATGCTAAGATACATTCACAGAGAAGTTGTGTTTATTACAGAAGTCATTTGAGGAGAAGAGGCAAACTGTACCTTTGAATTTTCCTAATGCTGCATTGGTAAGGACAGAGGAATGAAGGTTACATGTCAGTTTAAAAAGGCTTTCATAGTCCAACTGGGCTGGCACAGAGTGGGTTAGAGAGCCACGATGCAGGCACAGAGGAGGACTGTAGGGGAGAATGAATGAATGATTGGTGAGGTGAGAGTGGGATGTGGAAGGAACAGATAAGTTTAACTCTTAGAAGTCTAGAGTTATTATTGTTGTTTTGCTATACATTTGCAATTCTACACAATATAATTGATGTAAAGACAAAAGTAACTTTTCTTTAAATTCAAATTATAATAAAATGTCTCCTCGACTACTTACTAACACAAATGTGGTATCGACTGAAAGTTCAGAATGTATAAAAACACGACAGAAAATTTTCTGAGAAAGGTTTAACAGAATTTTCCACTTCATTTAAAGCATTACAAGCATGAAATAATCAAAAATTAGAACATGCTTTTTGTTATCAGTGGCGATAACTGACTTCTAAGGGTTAAGGTAGGGGTGGGTAACTCAGGGGGATGTGGCGGAGACAAACATATTTTGACACAGTTAGTAGGAAGCAGGCATCTGGAGGTGAGAGAAAGTAGGACCAAATGAGCAGCTGGCATGCACCCCCACTGTGAGGCTATTAAGCCTCATTAACTCTAATTACCCCCCAAATCCAAGTCCTGTGGACAGAGACATACACAAACAGAGCGATGCTTCTCTCCTTTAACTAACAAAACAGCGTCCTCTGAACTTTGGCAAATCTCACATTTCATTATCACATCATGATACTAAACCTTTCGAAAAAAGCACAAAATTATATATGTAGACATAAAACGTAGGACATATGATTACTGTGCTGATATTACACCATGTAGGTGGTACACTTCTGATTTTTTGTCTAAATGTGACACAGCTCTAATATTTTCACATGATCATAGGGCTCAGCAAGATGACAGTATTTATCGTTATTGTGATAAACTGCACCAAAATATCTCACAATATGTTTTTCCGAGAATGTTGTGGATATAGTCAGAACTTAAAAACAATTCCCAATTGCATAATCAGTCCTGTTCAATAGGATTTAGTGCAGCCCAGTGTGTGAAATGTTGAATACAAATCCCTAGATTTATATTCATTTTTTAAATGTGCCTACATACTTTGTCTGTTCTAACTTGTCAGGAAAAATATCATGACACATCATGTTTCGTGAAGACCTCTAGAAGTATCATGATATTACACCTTTGCCATACTGCCCACCTCTACGTACAAACAAGGCAGAGAGATCAGAGCTGGGCAAAAATTGGTCAAAAACATTGAGGAGTTAGGCTTGTAATGTGATCACAGTCGAAAAAAGCTAAGCTAAGGGTGTTGACTGCCACGCTGGTATGAGTGTTCCGGCCGCCGCCTCCACACGTGGTAGTTTTCCACCTGCCGACGCATTGCAGGTGGCAGGAGGCTGAGCTGGCCACATCTGCTGCGCGTCTCCCAGCTTTCAGCAGCATAGCTCCAGCCCCCTCACTGAATGATAACTCAGGTCTCGCCTTCCATCACACACCAAGCAGGTTGCCATAGAGACCGTGCTGGTCCAGCAGCCTGGGACGAGCTCCGCTTAAACGAGCACAAGTCGAGGGAGTTTGGCCGGCACATAATCTCCAAATCAGAACTGATAACACAGCAAGGCCATACGATAAGAACAGCCCAGTTCAAGCAAGTCATTACGGCGTGCATTAGCTTTTAGATTCCATCTCATTCCGTCACCTCTAATCTCTGGGTGATGTGCCACAGAGCTCAGCTTGTAACAGGCTATTTAGCATGACGTTACTTGAGGACACTGCTGGGTTCAACAGGCGGAGAGATGCATGGAGACTTAAAGGGCCCATATCATGGAAAACTAAAATGCTTTCTGCATTGAACTAAGAGTGTCACGTACTGCGTATACAAGTCCATATATGGAAAATAAAACCACAAAATTATGCCATTTTAAATTCATCATAGATGTAATGTTACAAACACATTTACATGACCACCTGTTCAGCCTACTAAAGTTTGAACCGCCCATTCATGTTGGAGTGATAAGGAGAGTCATTATTGGAGGGAAAATGTTTAAATGTTAATTAATTTTAACATTGTGCTGTTCATTGCATAAATTTCCAAAGGGTGCAGACAACTGAACATAGTGGCCTATTTATAAGTTGATGTTTTCTGATGTTAGCAAGCAGTTTATCCCAAACATAACCGTTTGTTCTGCACATTTTGCTCCTGGCTTTTTTAATGTGGTGTGCTTCATTTGACTCCTGAAGAATTTATTCAATCAGATCATACACACTGAGATGCTAGTTTAACAGGTACCCTGTACCTACAAATGCACTGTCAGTGGCCCCAAAAAGTATTTGGACATTCTTACCATTAGTAATCTTCATTACAAACTTCCTTATGTTACTTCAAAAAAGAAGAGAAAACCTGGGGCAGGGTTTCAACCAGACTACAATAAGGATGCTGTAAAGAACAGAGGGGAACCATCAAAGTCTGGGGCTGTTTTTCTTGCTGTGGGGTCAATGAGGTTGTGTTCATTGATGGAAATATGCACAAAAGTGTATAATGGCATTGTGGATGCAAACCTGCAGAAATTGCCCCAACGATAAAAATCTGAAACACAAAAGCAGCATTTTGAAAGAATACTTTGTCAAAAGAAAAATTACTATCTTGAAATGGTCTGATTATAATACTACTTGGTTTGACATACATAATGAACTTCACACATTTTTAAGTGTGGCACAAATGTCCAAATACTTTTTGGGGCCACTTGCAGATGTATGGCAGATGTAACTGGAAAAAACTGACCAGTGAGTGTAGGTCCCAGGTATCTACCTAATAAACTGGCAACTTTGTGTGTATCAGTTTTACAGGCATAGTAAAAGCCTGTTGAATTCTAAGCAGGCATGGAAAGTATGACAATATTTTATCTTTATTGTGATAAATTACATCACAACATGCTTTTAACAGCATATCATGGATATTGTTTGCACTTAAAGAAAACTCACCAACTGCATGTTTCATTATAAGTTTGGCATAATTAGTCCTGTTTAATTGGATTTGGTACAAATAGTATGTGAAACATTAGATAAAAATCCTTGATCTTGTAGTTTTTCATTAAAAACTTTTTTATTGCTTTTTTTGTCAATGACAAAAAATTAAAAAAAAGACTGAGGCAAAGTATTTAACATGTTCAAGATATTGATGGTTACAGAGGTTCTTATAGTTTTTAATAGCGTTTTTTAAAATGTGGCATGACTGGTTCTGTTTTGTCTGTTCCAACTTATCAAACCTCAGAAAAACAAATTATCGTGACACTTCTTGTCTATCAACAAGATATCATCATACTAAATGTTTGACATATGCTCCTCTCCATCTCCCAATAAATCCAAGGGATAAAAACGTGTGGAAAACAGACATGTAAAAAAAAGATTTACAATCTTTTTGGTCTCTAAAACCACACAAACATACATTATAAGCAGACTCCAGGGAAATAAAAATCCAAGCAAATTGCAGAATATGGGCCCTTTAAGGTTGGAGAGGAAAGAGTGAGTGTGTGGGAGTCACACAGAAGGAGTGAAGGAGAGGAACAGCTTGCGCAGGAAGAAATAAATAAATAAACGAAAACCCTACCCATCCTTTTTGTAGAACTCCAGCATCATGTTGTCGGTGGCAACGCTGAGGGGGCGTCGGCTCTGGTCGTGCGGCTGCTTGCGTTCTGATTGGTCCATGTCTGGAGAGGGCATGGAGCTGTAGTTGGAGTTGTGGTTGGTGTGCATGGGGCTGCCGTAGCTGCCCGTCAGGTTGAACTCAATATCTAAGAATAGCGGAGGAAAACCAGTTCAGATCTCTCAGGGGGGGTACACTTGTGTGTGCATGTGTGGCTGTGTGGGCGTGAGGGGGAGAGAGAGAGAGACAGCGAGCGAGAGAGAGATGTGTGTTTTTCTCACCTCCTGGGAAGAACCAGTCAGCATGCTGTATGATAGGCTCAATGATTCCGACAATTTGCAGGGACACAGTGGTCATCATTTCTGTCATGTTCCTAAGCACAGCAATGACCCATTTAATCCACACATTTCATCTTTTATAAAAAGATACCAATTTTTATACACGGCTCCGCTAGGACAAATAAAGCTATTGCTTCAAATTTAATATGTCATTTTTTCCCAATACAATAAAAAAGTGAGCAAGGAAATCTGTAAAGCAGGTATTATAATCAGTAAAAAAGTAACAGGGACACACTCACGCTTCAGAATGCGACCACAGCAGATTGGGTCCCAGTACTATTGCAATGTTGCCAGGAGTCATTTTGTTGGAGTCCTGGTACTCGGTCAGCTTGGCTAGGAATTTAATTAAGTATCTGTGGAAAACAGAAGCAGGAGAAAAATGAAAAAGCCAATGTTTTAATCTACACAGTATTTACACAGAGCGGCCGGTCTGCAGCATCCTCTCGCATTTGCTATTTCTGTTCCTGAGTCATATCAATATTTCAGTGGACTCAGCTCTCTGGGCTGAAGCAGGTACAGCAGAGCAGTGAGGGTCTGTTCAGACCAACGGTTAACCTCCAAACACAGCCTGTATATCAGGGCCTTGTCAGATAATAGATAGACAAGTTATATTCACAACCATTTGTGAAAAACAAAGTGAGTAGGACACTGAAACATAACTATACACAATAGTGTCCAAATGTCAGAGAACCTCGTTTGGTTATTTTTTACAGAAAATTAGACGAAAGCCAAAACAAGTATAACTTCAGAACTATCATTCATTCAAGCTAACATTCACACAAGCAACTACCCAAACACACCTTAGCTAAATCATGTGCATCTAAAATGGCTAAAGGAGATATTTCTGAGGAGATTAGACATAAGATAATCCACTTGCAAAAGCAAGGGGATATTCAAAATAAAATTAGTGGAAAAAACAGTGGAAAAAAGTTTCCAAAACTGGAGTACAAGTTGCAGAGAAAATGAGACTTCTAATAACCGTGCTAGACCTGATAGATCAAAACTGTCACCATCAGATAAACAGTACTTAAACCTTTCATCTTTGCAAGAGAGGAGAAAATCAAGTGCCACTCTTACTTCAGATCTGAAAAAATTCACAGGTGTTTCTGTCCATCCTTCCACTGCTAGAAGACAACTCAACACTATCAGTCTAAAATTATGTGTAGCTGTCAAGAAGCCATTATTGAGAAAAAGAAGTAAACAAAAAACAAGATTTGGGCTAAAACACTGAAACTGGACATCTGGGATAGAGTAAGAGAGTCCAGATTTCAGTATCATTGAATGTGTTGGGATTACTTGAATCCTGAGATGCAGAAATTGCAACCAAAACTGTACAACTCCAAAAAAGAATGAAAGCTGTAATAAAGGCAAAGAGCAGAGACACCAACTACTAAAAATGTGATACTATATTTTAGTTGTTGAAGCTTCTGTGTAATTGTTTGTTCAGTATATATTTTGAGAGTCTGAAATTATTAGGACCTAATGGTCATTCTGACTGGAAGGTAAATAAATAAAGGATGTTTTTTGACTTTCATTGCACTGTACAACTAGTGCCTTTAGTCTTTATCACAGGTGGATTTGGACAGATCACCAGAAAAGTCTATTTCTCCTACATAGAGTCAGAATAAGCACTTAAGTACAACAAGGAGAGCACGCATGCACTGAAGTAAGAATGAATGGTCCCCCCGCCCCAAACACAAGCAGCCCTGGCAGAGCTAATGAGCTACTCTGAACAACCGGCCCACACAATTAATCAGATGAGATTAAATTTGCCCACCGACTGTCACTGAGGATCGAAGCAGACTCCTCAACATTCCATCAGAGATGTGGTATCTGACACATTTCTCCAGTAATGGGCTTTCATCTTCCTGACTGATTCACAGATTCACAGATTCACGACTAATGATGGCAACGGGTAAACAAGCTGCAGCACTGACCTGAAATTGTTTAAATTGTCCGGTGGAAGTTTCTCACATGCAGACAGCAGGGCTTGGAGCCTCTTGTCCATATCTTGAATACTGGACAAAGCAAAAAAATTGTTTTGGTGTGCTAAGAACTGGTACATATGGCACAACATGCAGCTTAAATGACAGAGAGTCGCAGTAGATAGAGCTGTAAAAATGAACATTTCTTTAAAAAAATGAAAAAAATGACAATTATTTATTATTGTGTTTGTGTAACAAGCTACCTTGAACATATGAATGTCAGTCATGTTTTATCAGTCAAGTTCTCACTAGGAATGCACAATAAACAGGATCGTATCGGTAAAAATAGATATTTGAGTAAAAATAAATTAGCATTGGACAGATTACATTTGTTCAATATTTTAAAATGATATTTAATGACATTTATTGTACTCTTGAAGAGCAGAATGTTTATGTGATGCAGGCCTGCTGCGCAAAAGTGTCTGCATTCTTCATTTTACTGCATTTTAACCCTTGTCAAATATGTATTGCATTTCACCATAAAATAAACGAGGTGGATGCAGTTTCACTTTCTACATTAGATTAATATTTATCGATCAACATCAGCAGAAAATATTAAATATTAGCATAGTCCCCACACTGGTGCATCCCTAGTGCTAAATGAACTGAATCTGAATGAGCTTCCACGCTCACTCTGAATGAAAACAGTGCAGTGCACCCAACAACAGCAGAAGGTGTGTGCATCTTTTATATGAGGATAGAAAACACAGTATCACATATAAACCTCCAGTTCTAAATGCTGCTATATTTGCTAAGTCAGTAAGTCGTTGCATTGAACAAATGCATTATATTGGAGAAAATGCTAGACTGTGCAGTGTTGTAGCTGAGATGTAGCTAGAGCTAGGATACCCTAGCACAGGGGTTACCGATCTTATCCAAAATAATCTTTCTTTATTTAAAATTTTTCAAGATTTTGAAATTGTCTTTTGTTCTTTCCCAAGTTAAAAAAAAAAACACATTTTCTATGTGGTCTCAGACTTCTGGCCTCCACTGTAACTAGTCTTCAAATGATATTTGAAGACTGAGACCAGCTGAAACAAGCGGAATCAGGTGACATCACAGTGGCTCTTAGTGGATAAGACTGGTGACCCCTGCCCTAGTGTAGGGTTCATTCACATCATCTGTGTAAGTTACATCTACTCACTTTGAGGCCTGAATCCACTCTTCGTAGAGCTCAGAGGTCATCAGAGGCTCAGGGAGTTCACGGAGATATGACTTCAGAGCCCCTGCAAAAGCGAGAGGATAGGAGAAGGAGAAAGGGAGAGGGAAATAAGAAAAAGTAGGAAGTAAAAAGAGAAAGAAAAAGAAGAGGAAGGATGGAGGACGGATACTATCAGGCTGGAGCATGTCTGATAGGGCCTGAAGGAGATTTGATTCACTTAGCTTTGAATACTGTTAGAGGGGGAACAGAGAAAGAGAGAGAGAGTGAGCGAGAGACAGAGAGAGAGAGAAAAACAGAGAGAGAGAGAGAGAGAGATGGGTGCCTCCAAGCCATGCAAGATGCCAGTGGTATTTGCTAGTGCTGCTGGCCTGCTTCTGCCTCACTGGCCAGTGGTGAATCATAAGAAAGGGCAAAGCATGATGGGATTAGAGCAAAGGGAACCTAGGGCTGAGTTAAATGGAAATGCATTTGGGGTCAAACTCTGTTCTAGAATGCCAGCGCTGGTAGAAAATGCAAAAACATTCCAACCGTCCTCCAGGACTGAATTATGTCACAGGTCAAGTCTGGGCTCACGAAGGTCACCAGCTCACCTGCTATAGCGTGCGGATCCGCAGAGTACTCTTGCACGTCCACCACCCCACAGTCTAGCGACGCCTTTAGCTTCTTCAGTTTGGAGGCGGAGGGAGCCACTCGGAACAAACCCTGAGAGCACAGTTAACCCCAAGTGAGAAAGCCTCACTTCTTCTGCTGTCATAGCAACAATGGCTCACACGCAAAGGTTCTCAGCAAGCAGTGAGTGCTCAAAAAAGGAAGTGTTGGATAAAATTTGGTACTGTGAAAGCTGGTGTTGTTTTCGCTGTGAATTCCACCGTGGACTCGTCCCAGTGTGAATTCTTTGCCTCAAAACCATTGCTCAGAAGAAAAGGGTGTGATGCTGGGCAAAGTGACTCAATGGTTCACTAGGATCCAAAGATGAACTCATAAACCTATGCCTCAACAGGCAATGGGCTGCAATACAAACCAGAAAAACTGGAGCAAGCAGTCTTTTTTAAAAGTTTCAAAAGCTTGGTAAAATGTGTGTTTTAATGCTTGATGACTAAAATCAGTTGCCATCAACCAACACAACATGTTTACCATTGTAGTTTAACCCAAGACGTTTTTCCAAATGAATCGACTAGTTTAAAGTGATGATTTGTTAAGTACTATTCAAGCTAGATCCATTTAACCCAAGCAGGCTCTATAATATTAGTTACTAATCAATTCCTACAAGATAAAGTATTTGTGTATTTTCCCCAAATTCCCACAGATAGTCCAGATTGAAACGTCATAGCGCTGATGTACATGTCAGCATAGGTGACAGGCACCACACTCAATAACAATAACAACACAGTGCACAGCCGTGTTTATTAGCAGGTTTCATTATTACACTACGATGAGGTCGATTTAAAAAGGACTACTATTATTGAGAGAGCTCTAGATTCAGCAAATCACAGAAAGTACTTCCCTCAGTAAATTACAGAAGCTCCTTAAGTAAAACTAATCCATCCCGAACACAGCTTTTTCTAATGTATTATATGGGAGAACTCTTCACACTCCTTGATGATCACAGTCCCTTACATTGAACAGTTTTTAATTATTCACAAATTACTAATTTAACACACGTGATTCAGTCAAAAGAAATTAGGAATCTGTTAGATGCACACTGTTGCCAAGGTATTCAGTCAAACCCTTTTGTGCTATGTTTATAAACATATAACTGTCCACTGTCTCTTAAAAAAAAAGTTACGGTTATATTTACAAAGTTGGAATTGTTTCTAAACTTTTGGCTAGTAGTATAGGTTAGTTTACACTGTCAAAATTACCACCAGTGATAATAAAAGCAATAATAATTCAACATGAATTATTTCTCATTTGTAATGCACTGAAATAAGCAGAACAAATCAGAAGATTTCACAGATTTTCAGTCAATATGATGGAAAAAGTACTGCTGTCTTGTTTTGCGGAAAGAAAAATAATTTTTAAATTTTGTCATGTTTTTGTCATTTTTTGACATTCAAACAAACAGAAGTTTGCAGACTCAACCCCATCCATACAGAATGTAAACTGACTGTAAATGTAATTACTGAGTATAGAATTAAACATGTAATTACTTTAAAATTATACAGCAGCAAAAAATAATAACTTCTCAAAGTTAAACAGTGGCCTTCTGCAGGCAGTCCTTACCTCTTCTTGCATGCCACACTCCAGCAGCATGGTGACACAGGCCTCAATGGGGAAGGCTATCTCTCTGCCGCTGAGGGTCAGGTGTTCCTCTAACGGCTTGCCATAGGATGGTTTCTCTATCCAGGCCTCTGAAACACACACACAGACACCACATGTAGAACAAAAGCCTGCATCTCTTCAAAGGTTCCTGTCTTCAAGGCAGAAAAAACAGACATAAACAGACACACAAGCATGCTGACTGACATTTCTTGTGCACTACACAGAGAATGAAAGTCAAAACTTGATCAAACTTGTTTAAGCTGGCATTAGGAACCAGATGGAGGGACTCACCCTGGTGCGCTTTGATCTGAGGCAGCACACTCTGCAGAATCTCCAGAGATTTCCTGTGATACTCCGCCTGAACCTCTATAAGCTACAGGAAAACAATAAACAGCATTGTTTTAACTAACTTCTCCTTGTGTTCCAAGTAAGCACTCTGTATGTACAAAAATGAAAATTTACTAATGGTGGAAAAACATGCATGTGAAAGTGCATTTTTGCATTATTTACAGTAATAATACAAACATTACTATATTGCAGCCTTCAATCATAGTCAGAAGTTCCTACTCATGACTTCGAAGGACATAAATACACATAATATGTGTTCAAGTTGTTTTGGTCGGAAACAAGATGGACACGCTAGGTGCTTTTTTGTTTACTTTTCTTTTTCTGCCGTCAAAGACAGCTAGTTTATTTTCCGTTGCTGCAACAAATTAAAGAGCACTGAGTAATGTTTTTATCATATGCCCATATCTGTTTTATCAAGTGTGCATATAACACATTAAAAAAAGCCTGCAGTGCTCATGTGTGGCTGCTGAGTAACTTAAATACACTCATTTTACAATACAACTATTAGTGGCTACCATTACTCGGAAAATTGGGGCTCATCAATAAAATCACACTAGTGCCCTCATCATGTAAATTTCTTACATGCCTTGTAGGCAGCATCGTCTCCTAAAGAATCATGATCAAAATTAACCGTGGCAAAGTCTTTACCACTAGAACTTACCGTCTGAAAGTAGTTTGCATAGTCTATTTCTTTGGCCACAAAATTATACATGTCTGCTGATAACTGGTCCTAGGTAAAGAAAAACATTATGGTGTTCAACAGTAATCAACAATGGTACATCAGATACTACTGAACTGCAAACAAAACAGGTCCAGGTTTAAACACTGGTGCTTTTACTGTCAGCTGATAGAATTCAACGCATTTAACAGCAGTTGCATTTTCAATTTATGACCTTTTTTAAGTAAAAGTGTTAAGTAAAAGAAATGGTTACACTTATGTAACTGACATTTCCATTATAACAGAAAGTGGAGAAATGACGAGGGGAGAGAGAGAGAGAGAGAGAGAGAGAGAACAAGAGAGAGACAGACATACCCTGCAGATTTCCATCCGATTGGCTGTTTCTTCCATCTCCTCTCTGAGGGCATCTGCTTTGGCCCCGCTCGGTTGCAGGTTGCTGGGGTGACTGGAGGACTTGGATGACTGCTGCCACCTACAGGCAGGGAAAGAAAGGACACATTAAGAGGAGAGTATGACCCAGTGAAAGGAAAAACAGCTGATTCTTCAGAGTGGCATGTAGCACCTTGTCCGTGCTGAATCCATGTCCAGAACAAGCTTGGCTAGATGTTTCCTCTGTTTCTGTATGTTGGGAATGTCCACCTAAAATGACACAGAGGAATAATAATTGGCTCACAAACATAAAAGTGCCTAAATTATTAAATGCTGGATACTTCTTTTAAAAATATGTAAAATGCACATAAGAGTTTTAACAAATCCACAGCTGGGCAGGGAGTCAGTTATGGATTAATGTGGCTTTATATAGCGCTAAGGGAGTGAGAGAGGCTTACCTCAGCCAGGACGTACAGAGGCTCCACCACATCTCTCTCAATCTGGAACTCAAAGAGAATCAGCTCCTGGGCCAGTTTCTCTTCCGTCTCCCCACACAGCTTCAACATCTTGCTGTAGGGAAAGCCAAGGAAAACACCAGCATGAGGGAAGACTATTTCATATTTGGCATGCTCTAAAGCTTTTAAGGGAATCGTTTGGTGAAAAATCTAGTTTCCCTGAACCCTTAAATTGTCGATTAGCCAAGACATGTTTGGTGTCTTAAGTTTGCTTCTTTGGTTTGCGCTAGAGGCTAATGTGGCTAACAACTAATGGAAGCTTATATCAATTAGCATTGTGCAAACTGCATGCCTAAGTCATCACACACTTGCCTTAAAGCATCACACACTTGCCTTATGATACTGTTATGTATAAAATGAACATAACTATGTTGCATAGCTGAAAATAGAAGTGGCAGCCACCTGGCAGTATGTATTTTGCCTGTCTGTATATTTGTGTTGCTACAATCAAACTATCTCTTCAGACCTACTAAACTGAGTGTCTTGTTGGCGATCTATTCTGAGTATTCGGCAAAGTCCCTTTTAACTTGTTTAAATCTCTCGTCAGAGGAGTTATAACGTGTGTACACACTGGCCAGGGTAAAAACGTTCACAGCATGAAGAAACACTTTCTGTTTGCTACCGTGTTTCCTATCATTGTATAAAATATGCATAAAGCTTCAGTTTTTGTTGGATGATTGCTGGTGTTTTCCCAAGTGATTGTGGGAGCTCTTAATGAGCACTTCTTATGGTTTTGTCTAATCAGAGTAACAAGCGTGACTAATGTGTGACTTACGTTCCTATTTATGCATTTTCAAAGACAGCTTGCTACACAAATAGAAATCTACAATTTTTTTATTTTTATTAAATCACATTCTTTACATATCAACTAAATGCAATGACAGCACTGGGAAGCACTCTGATTAACACACAAGAGCAGGTTAAAAGGCAGAAAAAGATTTTTGCATCAGCTTTGAAAGGTCTTACCCAAGTAGAGAGTCGTCTCCTAGTACTGCAGCTCCTTCCACCATACACTGGGCCAGTGTGGTCAGTGGCAACTTTTTCTGTTTAGGGAAGAGTAGAAAAAAGTAAAGCAAAAAATACAAATGGCTCCAATCACTACATATTCTGCTAAAGTCTCTGCATAAACAAGATGAAAACAAAACAAAGCAAACTTTCTAACAAAATCCAGAAGCAGTTTAGTGACTATAGAAAACGTGCTACTAGATTAGATAGACTGTTTAATTTAATTTAAATATAAATTTATTTTGCTCTGTTTTATGTAATATTTCTCAGTTGTTGTCTGTTGTGTACTATGTACTGTAGTGCAATGTATTCAATAAATAAATCAATAAACAAGCAAATAAACAGGACAAACCGAAGGTGACTTGACCGATCTCTTGTCCACGTCAGCCCCTTGCTGTCCTTGCAGGCAGGCGGTGAGTTTCTTATGTGTGCTGTGGGAGACCTGCTTGACCAGGTCCAGACGCTTCTCCACCTTAACCACACATAAACACAAAGCACTGGTCCGTCACCCACCCACACAAACTGTCAAACAAGCCAAGCACTACGCACATGCAAAAATACACCATACATATTTATGAGGACAAATATAAATACCTTAAAAACAACAACACATAATAGGAACACTATGTAGCAAATGGAGGACAACAAAAACACTACAGGGAAGCAACTTTAAAGCAATACAGTACTCCAGATGATCTTACCTGTAGTAGGTCCTCGCTTAGTACTTCTGTTTTTTCTGCCCTGTAATGTGGAGAGAGAGGTGCAATTAGCGTCGTAGGCTAGTGCGGGCCTGAATAATTTAACCAGAATAAACTGAACAGGCCACCAGGGGAATCACGCCATGTTCTTACAGCAATTAATTACACACAAGCCAGCTAGACTACTAACGTACTGTACGTGTGAATCATTTTCTCCCTTCATGGCTAAACAACTATAAAATTTCGCACTGTTCTCAACATAGATAGGATGATAATCACCAACAGCATTGGTCATTCACTGGCAGACATTCAGCAATAATATTTTCTGTCAGGGTTCTGTACTCAGAGTGGAGTGGACAGTGCCTCCACCCTCCTGTTTCCCCTGCTTTGGTACAGCACACGTCATGCTAAACAGCATAGATCACTTTCCCCATTTCTCATCCAGCGTTGTGACTGATCTGCAGGGAAAGAGACCGGCACTGACCCAATGAGGCCTCCTTTACCAACACTCTCATAGCTTCACCATTTTAAAGGGCGCATATAAAATTTACTTGATTCAATTAAATAAAAGAGTTTGATGAAGGACTGTTAAAGTTCCAGAATGTACTACTCCCTAGGACATATAGTCCACATATGGAAATTAAGCTACAAAAACAGCCCATTTTGAACTCACTGTTTTTGTGATGTCATAACAACCAACATATTTACTTTGCCTACTCTACTTATTCAACCTAAAGCAGTTTAGCTCCACCCAGTTACACTGAAGATATAAGGAGTGTTCCAGTCTTGAATACTTTTTGAATGAGGCACAACACAGGACACCCAATCAGAACAAAAGTCATTTACATTTACTAGCCACAGTAAAAAATGGCCTGTTTAAGGCATAAAGAGAGGTTGGGAAATGGTAAAAATTAATTACATCTGCATTGGGTATATATACAGTCGTATGTGAAAGTTTGATCAACCCTGGTGAAATTATATGTTTAGTTGAAAATAACACATGTAGAGAAAACAATCTTGTCCATATTTTATTTTACTGTTTATTTGCTGAATTCAACTTATTGGAAACAAAACACACGCACACAACACACACAACGCGACCTGTGCAAAGTTACGGCACATTTTATATTTTAGCTTAATTTTTTTCCAGTATGTTAATCTCAGCCAATAAATAAAAACTGAGCTCTAAAGTTTGCAGAAATATATCTTATATTTAGGTTCTCTTTTTAGGATGTGTTCACTTACTTTCACACAGAAAATCATCAAAACATGTAATCTGACAAGGGGCACACAAACCTTTGCATAGGACTGTATATGTATCAATATGAGAACTGTCAGCAGATGCTGATAACTTATTTTTAATGTACATTTAATGTACATCTGTTAATGTCTACGCCAATGTGGATAAATAAACATTTATAAAATGTAGAAATTGGGAAATCCACCTAAATTAGCATTATGGAGAAATGTAACATTTATTTCTGTACAAATGCAGTAAAACTTTTAGCACAGTAGCCCAGCATCGTCTAAACATTCTACTCTGATGGAGCAGAATCAATATGTCATCAAACATCTGTTTGAAGCCAATATTTTGCTGATACTGATACACTTGTGAATTCATCCAGTTTCTGGTAAATAAATTTACATAAACGGTAAAGTGGACTTCAGGGGAAAAAATAAAATACAAAAAAATGTACAATTAGCCTCTTTAAAGAGAAATCATGTAACCATGTAAACTTTATAGGGTGTTAAACAAGCATGTAGGGCTGGGAAGGGACTGAGTGCTGACCCGTGAACACATGAACAGCAAAACAAGACTGACCCCAATGCAGGCTCAAGCACTGGGGAATTCATCTGCACATTCCAATCAAATTCTCAGTCACAGAAGCCTGCACTGCAGCAGTGTGAAAGCACACACACTGAGGCTGTGTTAGAATGGACATGTGTAGCAGGCTCTCGCTCTCTCTCTGCTCCAGATCTGGTTCCACAGCCGGCATGACCCATATGCCTCACACATACACACAGCAGAACAAGTTGCCATGGCAGCAAATGTCTGAGAATGAAAATAGACACTAACACATCTGGACTAGGACAGCGAATACATGTTATGGTTAGTGAGAAGCTGTCAGAGCAGAGAAGAACACTGACTTGAAATAAGTGTTGACAGAGTGCAAGATCACTTCATGGCATTGATGAATGTGGAAAGCTTAAGGTTGGCAGACAGCAGGGCTGTGAATTTTTGGTGTAACAAGGATTCAAACCCGCTAAGAAACAGAATATTTGAAAGCAACTTTTTTTTAAATTAAAATTTGTAATCCCAAACGTAAGTCAGAAACTAATAAATGCAAAAAGAACTTTTATTAGTGCATTTAGCCTCTATCTTTAACAGTTTCGTACTTTTAGGCTGCCAAAAGATCAGAATGTTTTTATGTAGCCTTCAGACTTTTGTCTATTCCTTTCACAAAATTTGGATGCAAAGGACTAAGAATCACATAAGCTAAACTGTCACTGGATGTGTAAACAGAAATCTAACTAACCTTTTCTTTAAGAAAATAGCGTTAAAAAGCACCATTCACTTTTGTACAAAATAAATCAATAAATAAATAAATGAAATGCTAACAGATGTTTACACTGAACTACAAGCACATTTTTGTGCACTGAAAGCCTGAGATACAGTCAGCATTTACCTCAACAGCTTTTTCTATAAAGACTACAAAACAAATAAATATTTCAATTTATATACGTGCACAATAATGAATACATATTTTTGTTTATTTTTGCTTAGTTATCAAATAACTTTGTTGTAACAGTAGAAATTACTGCCTCACTTTCTTAATACACAATGCAGAGTGTAAAAACAATCCTAATGTTTATTATGTTTTTACAGGCTTGTAGTTCAGGACGAAGCAGCTTTTGATCTGTGCTGTGTATTTTTAACTGGGCATTTAACCTAAATGGTTAAATTTGTCTCCCATGTGAGACAGCAGGGTTCAACCCCAGCGCAGACAAGCCACTAATAATGTGTTTATCATATGTTTAAGACGTGTTCATCGTGGAACCCATATTGAGATAACGATAAAAATATGATTTATTGTACAGCGCTAGTTCATACTTTTTTCCACTTTGCTGTGCTTGAGTTGTGTTGCTGGGAAAAAGCCATGTAGAGAACTGGACTTTGGGTTTTCACCAGCAAACGTAACAGAAACAGAACAGAGTTATTTTAAAATAAAAAAAACTTGTTTCTGATCAATGACATTTTATTAATAAATAAATATGTAAAGAGAAATTATCTAATCGCTAGCTCACAGTAACTCACAGTATTTTTGCTTCTGATATTCAAGTACATTTAAAAGCAAATCGCTGTTGTCGGAAAAAACCTTATATCTCCAAAATGGTAACTTTACAGGAGAAGGAAATACCTACTTTACTTTTAATGTAAGCCAATGGAACCAGACTTTTTGTCCAAGTCATTTTGGGCTGTTTCATTTGGCCCATTCTTCATGAAACTTGCACACAATGTAAAGGACAACTGGCATTTTCAAAAAGTCAAAAACTGAAAAACGCCAAAAATGGAGATACAAGGTTTTCTTCCGATAGCAGCAAAATGCTTTTGCAGTTGAACTCAAGAAGACAAATGAAAAGAGGATGTCTACATTTACTTGAATGATATTGTATGTAGTAACTTTAAGCGTATTTCTGCTTTTACTCAAGTACAGGATTTGTGTAATTTGTCCACTCCTTTTCAAAAGTAGTACCTCTAGCTATGTGAGACCAGGTTTTTATAAATAGTAAATGTGGAAGTATATGGTACATATCACATGATGCAAGTAGGTTAGATAATAACATATTATTTACAATATCCCTGAAGTCCAGCATCAGAAATAAAAAGAGAAGCATAACCTGAAGCTTCTTACCTCCACATACAAACACAGTTCAACAGCTTCCTGTTATCACCAAAATTGCATGGAAATGGACGAAGGCCAAGAAAGATAGCCAAGAACAGATAAACTGGGACGTGCCTTTTAGTCTCACAGTGAGCCCACAGAACACAGAACATCAATTTATGAGCAGATATGACAATTACAACAAAGACATAAATCACACAAAGGATATCAAGGATCTACTGAATAAGAAGAAGAGTGCCTTCAGACACAGAGATAAAGCGCAGAGCAAGCAGGTGCAAAAGAAGCTGAAAGAAGAACTCAGTAGTACCATCAATAGACAGGTACGGGTACAGCAGACCAATGTGAAGGAGGTATGGAATAGAATGATGACCTGCAGTGGCCACAAACAGACTGGAAGGCTGGAGGTGGAGAGAACTTCACCTGATGATCTGAATCTGATCTGTTTTATTTTTTAACATCCTTACCCTGATACATCAAGCTCCACTTCGTCTTTTCTGAGGGTTCAGTCCTCACCTTTGCCTCTTGTTCACCTCCTTACGATCCCTCACTCTAGTGAGGACACCAACCCTTTGGTCTGCATCCCTACTTCACTTCACAGTCTTACTGACTGTTGAATACCAGTCCTGCACCAGCTAATTCTGTGGAGTGCCAGAGGCCAGTTGATTTCACTTAACACATCATGAAGACCTTTTAGAAGCTCGTCCTGAAACAGCTCCAACCGTCAGTCACAGACCATCTGGGTCCCTTGCAGTTTACTACCAGGCACGTGTGGATGATGCTCTGACATACATGCTCCACAGAGCCTACTCCCAAATGTTAGCACCACAGTCAAGATCACATTCTTGAATCTGTCCAGAGCCTATTAACAGCATCTTGCATCTCCGACAGGGGAACAAACTAAGGGCGATGTAGGTTAATGCCCCATGGTTTCTTGGATCACTGACTGACTGTGCAACAGACAACAGTTTCTGCAGCTCCTCCTCTACACATAAGACTTTCAGTACAACACCAGCCCATGCCACCAGTATGATCCCTTTGTTATATGATGAATTCACAGTGGGGATAAGTCAGAGTATAGGCAGCTGGCAGAACACTTTCTGAGATGCATGTAAATCCAAAGCAAAGGTACTGGAGGTGG